ATGAATAGGGTAGCAAAAGATTTCTTCCAGGCTAAAAGAGGACTCAGACAGGGTGATCCCTTATCCCCATTCTTATTCACTTTTGTGGCTAAGGTCTTGAGTAGACAAATCATCAAGGCTGACCAAGATAACCAGTTTAAACGTTAGAGTATTGGTAAATCAGAAGTGGTGGTTTCTCACTTGTAATTTGTTGATGATATAATCATTTTTTGTGAAAGTTGTAATGAATCCAGTTTAAGGAATCTGAAAGTTTGGTGGACAAGTTTCAACAAGCCTCCAAACTGAAAGTGAATTGGGGAAAAAGCTGTATAGCTGGAATAAACATTGAGGAGGGGGACATCCAAGCCATGGCAAATTTGCTAGGCTGTGAAGTGAAAAGATGGCCTCTAGAATACTTAAGTATTGCCCTTGGGGGGGAATCTGAAAGCTGAAAGCTTTTGGAAGCCAGTGTTAGAGAGGTTCACAAAAAAGTTAGCAATGTGGAAGAGAAATTATATTTCCTTGGGGGGAAGAATCACCTTAATAAAATCTACCCTAGCAAACCTACCCACTTATTTCCACTCCACCTTTAAGATCCCAATGAAAATAGCTAGGAAGTCGGAGAAGATTATGAGGGATTTTTTGTGGGAACCTAACGATAAAAAGAAGGATCATTCAGTGAAGTGGGAGCAAGTTTGTTACCCTAAGGAGTAGAGTGGCCTAGGTATAGGGAACATATTAAAGAAAAATAAGACCCTTCTAGGGAAATGGTTGTGGAGATTCCCTTGTGAAGATAGGTTGTGGCACAAGGTCATTAAAAACATTCACGGTGAAGCAGATAACGGTTGGGATGCAAAACTAGATTCCAATGCAGCTCCAAATTCCCCCTAGAAGGCAATCTTTGAGGTACTACCAACATTTCTTCAATTTATCTAGTTTGATGTTGGATGTCGCAATAAAGTTTTATTCTGGGAAGACCTTTGGGGGTTGGGGATTTGCCTCTTATGGTTAAATTCCCAGACCTCTACTCCTTATCAAACCATAAAAACAAACCTGTTGCTAGGTTTGGTTTGCTTTCAGATTTGGGTATCTCTTGGGATTTTGGCTTCAGAAGAGGGTTGAGGGAAAATGAATGTGAGTCCCTAGTGCTTTTGATCTCAACACTTGAGAAGGTCTACTTAGACCAATCTATAGTTGATAGTAGAGTATGGTCCGCAACTCCTGATCGTTTATTTTCTTGTGCATCCTTCTTTGGTTTGCTCACTCACTCTGATCCTTTGGGGGTGAACTTCCTAGTGAGAGAAATCTGGTGTAAACCGATCCCTCCAAAAGTACAAGCTTTCTATTGGGTAGTGTTCCTAGGGAAGGTAAACACCTATGATGTGCTACAAAAAAGGAGGCCAAACAAATGCCTCTCTCCTCATGTGTGTGTCCTTTGTATGGATTATGGTGAAACCCTACCACACTTACTTTTATCCTGCTCTTTTGTTTCTGGTATTTGGAATGTTGTTGTTCTCTCTTTAGATGCAGATGGGCTCCCCCACAAGATGTGGTAAGTCTATTCAGCCCCTTTTTCTTGAGGCAACAAAAGAAAAGAGAAAAGTGCTTATGGAAGGCAGCAAAAGCTACTAAAGTATGGACTATATGGGAGGAAAGAAACCTAAGACTTTTCTCTGAAAAAAGTAAATCAAAGGAGGAAGTTATTGAAGCCATAAAGAACTGCACAATGGGTGATGACCATGGAGCTATTCAAAAATTTCTCCATGAATGAGATTCTAAGTTGGACTAAAGTAGCACAAACTGATGCACCCAAAGTAGTTGTGAGAGTGGAATGGAAGCCACCTGCACTGAACAAATTAAAACTAAACTTTGATGAGAGTTCCTTTGGTAACCCAGGAAGGGGGGGGCATAAGGGGTGTGATTAGAAATCATCTGGGTGTGGTGGTGGCACTCTTCTCAAGACTAATAGGTATTGGTGACTCAATACAGGCTGAATCTCTAGCCCTACTTCAAGGTCTAAAGATGGCTGAGCAGATAGGAACAACAGATTTAGAAATAGGAGACTCACTGTTGGTCATTTCTTGGGCTAAAAACATCACATTAGTACCTCGGAAGCTCAAATTTATCTTCAGAGAAATTGACATACTTGCAAGGAGGCTCAACTCTCAGTTTGGTTGGGTTAAACAGAATGCAAATGGGATGGCAGATAACCTAGTAAAACAGGGGGCAAATAGATCTACCTTGTACTGGGCAGAACTGTAGCTGATTGTATGTGGTTGCAGATTAGGTTAATGCATTTCTGCAACCTATAACTATTGTAACTGATTGTAACTTTTCTCTGTTATTAATTAAAATCAAAATTTTTGCTGATCAAAAAAAAAAAATCTCCTGTTTCCAAAGCACTGTCTGAACCACTAAATTTCAATTGAATTATCATGCAGAATAGTGTTATTCCCTTGAGTTATTGGGGTCATGTCTCAGGTTAGCAGGGAACTAGCTCCATAGTTATTCATGATCTTATTCACAGATTATCATAATACCAGGATTCCCCAGCTAGGGTTGCAGAACGTACATAATGAACAATCTCAACTCAACTGAACTGTACTTATCCTTACTCCAACCAAATGGGGTTGACTACATGAATTATATATCTTGTGTCACCATTTCACTCTATCAAGGGACATCAATTGCTAAAATGTGCGCCCTCAAACGATTTCTTACTACCTCCAACCATGTTCTTATTGGTCTACCCCTAGATTATCTAGACCCTTCAACTTGCAGCATAATACTTCTTAGTGGTGCAATAGGTGGTCTTCTATACACATAAATAAACCATCTTAGGCCTCATTTGATAACACTTTTCAGAGGTCTGGTTGCTTTTCAGACACCAGATTCGTTTGGTATTGCGTCTGAAAATCGATCCGAAATCTTTTTCAGATCTGAAATTTTATGTTAATAGCCTAGCACTTATGCATTCAGACGTAGTTGAGAGGTGCGTAAAAGACATAAGTGCTCTCAAAAAAATTTTAATATTACATGTTTTTGTTCTTCATTTAACTTGAATCGAACCTTCACTATGACTTACGAAGCTCCACCGCAGGTCCACCACCACCGCCACTGCACTCTCTCTCTCTCTCTTGTATTTCCACCACCGCTGCTGCAACTTGCAGCGGCAGCAGTTCCATCTCTCTCGCTCTCACTCTCTCTCTCCCCTGTCTTCCCGTCGCCACCGCTGCAGCAGCGGTGGCGGTTCCGCCGCTCTCTCTCGCTCTCGCTCTCTCACTCTCTCTTCTCGCTCTCTCGCACTCACTCTCACTCTCTCTCTCTCTCTCACTCTCACTCTCTCTCTCCCTCCTATCTTCTCGCCACTGCCATCGCTGCTGCAAGTTGCAGCGGTGGCGATTCTGCCGCTCTCTCTCTCTCTCTCTCTCTCTCGCCACCGCTGCAACTTACAACAGTGGCGGTTCCGCCGCTCTCTCTCGCTCTCGCTCTCACTCTCTCTCTTGCTCTCACTCTCACTCTCTCTTCTCGCTCTCTCTCTCTCTCCCTCCTATCTTCTTGCCACCGCCACTGCAAGTTGCAGCGGTGGCGGTTCCACCGCTCTCTCTCACTCTCACTATCTCATCTCGCTCTCTCACTCTCTCTCTCTCCCTCCTCGCCACCCTCACCACCCCTGCAAGTTGTAGCGGTGGCGGTTCCGCCGCTCTCTCTCGCTCTCTCTCTTCTCTCTCTCTCTCCTATCTTCTCGCCACCGCCACCTATTAACTATTAATTATTAAACATTAATTATTTTTTATTTTTATTAATTATTAATATTTAATAATTATTTTTTATTAAACATTACTAATATTAATTATTTTTATTAAATAATCATTTTTAATTATTTCACTAATTTTTAAAAATTATTTTATTTTTATTTGTGTAAATTATTAATTATTAATTATTAATTATTTTAATATTTTTATAGTTATTTATTATTTTTTTAATTTTAATTGTTTCATTTATTAATTAGTAAATACTAATTTATTATTTTTTATTTGTATTGTTTCAATGTTATTTTGAGGTTGAAAATTATTTTTTATGAAATAATGCAAATTGAACTTAACATTTACAAATAATATGTTCTAAAGGTAAAATAGTAAAATCAGTAATTTCATATGGTAAAAGGTTGATCTAACAGAAACAAACTTATGAATTCAGAGCCTCTAAAAAGTAGAAAAGCATCTATGCCTCTTTTCAGATTTCAGACACTTTTAATATCTTTTTAACTTTTCAGATCTTAATTTTCAAATTTATCAAACGCCACCTTAGCCTACTTCCCATCATTTTGTCACCTAGCAAGACTATTTTGGGATTCCCATGAATACACTCATTTGTAACCTCATCCTTTGTGATTGTGATTTTACTATTCATCTGTCTCGACATCTACAAATCTACCAAACATATATTTTTTTTCTTGAAAAGGGTAAAGTATCATTAAAAGACAAACAGCATACAGGGAGTATACACTGAAGGTGCTAAAGAAGGCACCAAAAACACTACAAAACCCAGATCCGCTACATGTAAGAGCCAGATTTGGCACAAAACTATAAACCAAATCAAGAATCCCAAAACACAAACATCGGCAGACAAAACTCAAGCATGAACGCCAAACTAAGCCTCCTGGAATAGGCAAAACAGGCATCACGCAGATCGACCCAGGGTTGCTGAATTGCCCCTCCCCCTAGTACTGCGAGATCCTTTGGGGGTGGATTAGAAACCACCATGTCGTAGAAGCCTGATAGTTGTCTTGATTTCCTATCACCATGTCGTACAAATCTACCAAACATATACTTTGACCATACATAATGAACAAACTCCTATTTTAAAATAAAGATGCCTAAATATGGACACAATTAGTTCCCAAAAAAAAATTATGGAAACTATCAGGCATTAGCTTCAATTCAATGGGAAATATTTAGCAAGAAAGAAGAATAGCAACCAGAAATTTTCCGTGTACAAGAGAGAGAACAAAGATTAACCTCTAGCTGATTGGTTGAAAGGTTGAGCACAACTAAGCCGTGAAGTTTTCCGAAAGCCTCCGGAAGAAACCTTAGTTGGCGCCCGGGAAGCTCCACTCTCTCCAATCCCTTCCCGAGCGCCTCTTGCAAGATCCCAACAACTTCTTCATTTACTTCTTCATCGGCCGTGGGCACAGAGTCTTCCGGGTGCCCCTCTGCCGCGGCGGCGGAATCATAAATCCTGACCAGCCTTTCCTCGGCATCCTTCAACAGTTTCTCGTAGGCCTCGTGCATGCCGTCCAATTGCACCACTGCTTTGTAAATGTTCTTCTCCTTCTCTGCCGCCTGTCGACATTCCTTCTCCTTCTCCGCCTGCTGAGAGCGCCATTGCAGTCGATCGACGCCATCAGGACGAGGTGCTAAGACGATATCTTCAAGCTGCTTGGACAGCCTCGCTTCAATCTCGGCGATCTTGGCTCGGGCTGTATCAACGGCCTCGTGATCGGGACGGTCCCCGAGGGTTTGGAGGATAGATCGAGCTTGCGCAACGTCGGAGACAGCAAGGGTCATGGAAGCGAGGACCTTCGGGTGATTCAAATGGGGCATCTTCTCTGTCAACGGCCCAGCCACTTTGCTGGAGCTTGAGTCATCGGACGGAATAGGTGGTTGTTCGACGTCGTACTGAAGCGAGTCGGAACCGGCGAGGGTTTTAGTACCCAGCTGGGGAAGGTTAGAATTGATTCGGGACATGACATAGGAGAGAATTGGGAATTTTTTAGGGTTTGGATCCATCGTGAGAGAGAGAGAGAGAATGAGAGATTGAAGACAGAGAACTCAAATTGAAAATGATTAGAGCAGATCCAAGGACTTGATGTCACTGCACTCTGGACCGACTGGAGTAATCAAGCAACAGCGGACATTATCATCGCCCTAGTTTAGCACTATGGGTGCAAATGGATCGGATCTTGTCGGATTGGATCGGATAATATAATCTCGCATCGAATTCTGATCGGATATTTATTTTTTATTAATAAATATATCAGCAGAGGGGCCCAGCGAACCGTCGAGCTGTTGATCCGTTGATCTGGTCCTTGGTCAAAAATTATTGAATCCGTTAATAATTCATTGACTTAAGCGGTCGAACCGTCAATTTGTTGACTTGTTTAATGATTTTTGGCCATTTTTTAATATTTTTAATTGGGAATCATTCAGGCAATCGGATTTATTTTATCCTAATCTCGGTTCATGGCCAAAAGTCATTGAATCAGTCAACAACCCATCGACCCAAGCAATTGAACCATTGACCCATTTAATGGTTTTTGGTCATTTTTTTATTTTTTTAATTTTTGTTGTCAGAACGAGCCATCCATTCGAACCGAACAGTCAAACCGTCAACCCAAAAACCGATGGCTAGAACGGTTCCGTTTTCAAGTCATATGAGTCACACACTTGAATGACATAACATGTATGGTATTGCTTAATGGACATCACACACTCAACTTTTTGCTTGTACTTTTTTTTTGTCAAAATGGGTCATTCATTTTTTTATTTTTTTAATTGGGAACCATCTAGGCAACCAGTTCCGTTTTACCCTAATCCCAATCCCTGGCCAAAAACCATTGATCGGTCAATAACCCATTGACCCGAGTAGTCGAACCGTTAACCCATTGACCCATTCAATGGTTTTTGGCCATTTTTTTATTTTTTAATTTTTGTTGTCAAAACGGCCCATCCATTCAAAACGGACGGTCAAATCAACCCGAAAATTAGTGGCCAGAAATCCTGACAACCCCGAAAGCCTCATCTGATTAGAACATGGACATCTAGCTATAAATAGGTAATCTCCGCCTAAGGTAAGGGACTTTTGGACTTTGAATACATCTGCTCTACTTCTTCTGCTTTGACCAACACCATTCTTTCCTGCTCGACTTGACCACCTACCCTTCCATTCAATTGACTTGAAAGTCAAAGCGCCTACCCGAGGAATAACTCCTCGGGCCTCTAACCTTCCCTCTTAGTTGTAGATTCCAATGCGTGGCATCATCCTTCCCCCTCAGCTTCGTCCAGTTGGTAGGATTATCTGACTGTGTTCTCAGTTCAGGGTACCTTGGTTCAGACAACATCATAAAGGCGCCGTTTGTGGGAAGCGCACAAAAAGCCATTTCCCAAACCTCCTACACACTCAAAACAGCCATGCCTAGAAATACATAATGACCTCTCTAGAGCCCATTCCCCATCACGGGGTTCCTGCTCTCACCGCAGCTCTCCACCTTAAAAGACCTTATAGCGGACCACGGTCGATCCTACATAATTCCTAGCTATGTAACAGAAGGTTGACCGCATCTTTGCAATGATGGAGACACTGGGACATCTAGCTCAAGCCCCTCAGACTGTCCACCCTATCACGCAGGCACTTACTATGGCTGATCTGCACACTGAGGACCCCAAAAAGCACCACACAGACAAGCACAAGGTTCAGTTCGACCATGAAAGGCAGCAGTCACCTAGAAGACCAAACTCCCTAGTCCAGTCTTGTGCACATGAGATTCACAGCAAGTCACACCACTCTACCTTAGTACCAGTGAAAGAACGGCTCGGCCAGCGTCCACCACAACCACTGATCTCGATAGCCAAGTCCAATTCGATTCGAGATCAACCTACAATTCCAAAGGGAGAGAAGTCTGTGGACGTGACCCCAGTTGAGAGACACTAAGATCAGGAAATTGAGAGGACAGCTAGCTGAACTGGAAGTATGACCCCAATCTTCATTCAAGAGATTGTGGACGAGCTTCCACCAGCTGGTTGGTGACCCCCTCAGTTCGAGAAGTACGACGAAGCCTCGGATCTCAATGACCATGTCAAAGGATTCAAGGCCATGAAGATGGTGCACGACTCTTCTGAAGGTCTCATGTGAAAGGCTTCTGTCACCACCCTTCGTGGAGTTGCCAAAACTTTGTATGCCTCCCTTCCTCCGTGGTCTATATCCTCCTAGGAGCAGTTGGAGACACAATTTTTAGCATAGTTCACCACTAGTCAGTGACACTAGAAGACGTCAACCAGCCTCATGTAGGTGTGGCAGAGGAAGGGAGAAACCTTAAGAGATTACTTGGTGAGGTTTAATGCCGAGGCCCTATAGGTCTGAGTCTTGGAACAATTTGTAGCAGTGACAACTATCATAAGCGGCTTGCACTCCTCTGCGTTCAGCTTCTCACTACAAAAGAATCCCTCCCCCAAAACTAATGGCGCTCATGAAGCATGCACAAAAGTACATGAACGCGGAAGAAGCTTAGGCACTATAGAGGAGCGAGGAAGAGTAGTAAAACTAGAAAAGAAGAGACCATGACAGTGCAGGTCGGATCATGAGAGCAAAGCAAGACTGGCGACCTGACCAAAGACCAAGGACCCCGTCGTTGACATATAGGAACTTCACTCCCCTGAATAAACCACGGTTCGAGATACTGATGCAAATCCTCGACCACAGCTTTGTCAGGTTGCCCAAGAAGATAAATTCCCAGAATAACAAGAGAAGCCAAGACAAAAACTACGACTTCTATCGAGACCACGACCACGAGATTGAAAACAGTTACAACCTGCGCCACCACTTAGAGGACCTCGTCAGGCACAGATAGCTTGGTGGGTTTGTGGATATCAAGGAGCACAAGCTAAAGGAGGAAGTGCATTGCCCCAATGCACCACCAACCTGAGCTCCCCCAGCAGGAGTCATTATTGTCATCTCAAGTGGAATGGCTTCTGAGCTCGGCCCACAAGGCCTATTCCAAGCTACATCAAGTTAAAGACAAGGAATAGAAAAGACGGTGGCAAGATGATCCAATCACCTTAACTAACAATGATCACAAGGGTGTCAAAACAAATATTGGTAAACACAGGAAGCTCAATCGATATCCTCTTTGAAGAAGCCTTTGAGCAACTCGACATCAGCAGGGATCGTCTTACACCGGTCAACACTCCCTTGGTGGATTTCTTTGGGGACTCCTTCATGCCCCAGGGGAAGATCGCCCTACCACTATTGATAGGGGACAGTAACATCACCACCACGACAATGGTCGACTTCATTGTTGTCCGTATCCTTTCCCCTTACAACGTCATCCTCGGTCGGCCAACACTAAATGCTCTATGGGCCTCAGTTTCTCCACACCACCTATAAGTGGAGTTCTCAACCCCATACAGAGTAAGCGTTGCTCGTGGAAACCAAAAGACCACGAGGCAATGCTACCTAACGGCTTGTTGAGGAAGACCACACATCGCCGAGACTCTCAGCACGGAGAGCATGGACCTGAGGAATGAATTGCGGACACAACATGGCCAGTCCATGGAATACCTCATCTAGGTGCCCCTCTCCAGTGAATACCTCAAGAAGACGGTCTAGGTTGGGTCCCTCCTGGAAGACCATCTTCAAGATTATAGTATAGCTCCTCAAGGATAACGCCGACATGTTTGCCTAGTTAGCGGCAAACATTGGGATTGACCCTAGGGTCATCACCCATTTCCTAAATAAAGACCCATGCTACCGACCTGTGAGGTAGAAGAAGAGAAGTTTTGCCTAAAAATAGTGGCAATTAATCAACAAAGGAGGTGCAAAAATTTCTTGATGCCGAATTCATTCAAGAAGTCAAGTACTCGAACTGGTTGGTGAAGAATTTTCACAACCGTTAGATAGATCTCGAAGATTTATCCTGCCAAGGCTGACATTGATGTGCCACCAAGTGGGTTGGGGTGGCTTGTCTCAGTTGCCAGGGTGAGACCTGAGGCACATATAGTGTGGGATTTCTTGAAACCCTGAACCAGACCAAATTCCAATATTGCCCTGGATCTTGGAGATAGATGGGCAAAACTGGAATGTTACACTTGACCCCTAGACTCGATTATGGTACTGCACTAGGTGTTTGATTGGGCTATCTTCGATGTGCCAATCTATGATTTCCTTAGAGGGGGTCAAAACTTGGGTATATTGGGGTAGTCGGAGAATTCACCTGAATGGGTGATAATAGTGACAGGACCAACCCCTTTGTCAAACAAAGTAAATGATCGAGGAATGCACTCTCTCTGATGGAAACCTAAACTACCGATAGTTGATTTCAAATTGTTGAGATTTGTTTTTGCAAAATATATTTATATAGATATATACATGAAGGGGATGAGAGATCCATTCCATGGACGCCCGAAGATTGCGGAATAAGGAGCGAATTTCAAAAATTTTTCTCTCCCTTCAACTAGGAATCACATTCCCTATTTAGAAAATCATATTTTCAAGGATCATTCTTGAACCTTAAACTGAACCAGATCTAAACCAAAAGGAGTAGGAGAGAACTATACCTGATACGGATAAGTAATATCTCCCAACGAAGGTGTTCATGCCCAATGAAGGATCCAAAGACTGCTCCCACTGAAGATGGCGCAGTGCAGGATGGAGCAGAATCAGTAGTGTTCTTCCCCAAGAACTCTGTCCTTCGCAAGAATCAGTAGAATGGTACGTGAGCACAGCTTCCTATCAATCCTTTCTCAAAGAACTGATGTCAAGATCCAATCTTGACTTCTCCCACAACTGGAGATCGAACTGGCAAACAGGGCGGCAAGAATAGGGAGGCGGCAAGAGAGTATTCGCAGGGTGCAGAATTCTCTCTTCTTGATTTCAACACTAAAGAAAATCTGATGATGTGTCTCTTAAGCTGCCGCCCCCTTCTTTTGTTAACCTAAAAGATCAACTCCTAATCCAATTAGGAGTAGTTTATCCAAATCATATTTGGATAAGACTTCTCTTTAGGTGATAGGGATAAACTCTTATCTTATCTGCAGATTAGATTAGCTTTCTCCTAATCTCATTAGGAGG